TCGAAAAAGCAAGCCGCTTTTTCGAAAGAAAGCACCCAGTGAGTCTGGATGCTCTCTTTCTAAAAAGCCTGTTTGCTTTCAAGAACGCCTTCTTTCGAAAGAGCACTTTCGAAAGAAGGCGTTCTTCCTCGTGGAATTAGGTTTACCACCGTCGAAAGAAAAGCCGCATTCTTTCGATTTAATTTCGAAAGAACGCGGCTGCAGTCTAGACGCAGGTGAAGTTTTTTCGAAAAAAGGCTACTTTTTTCGAAAAAACCCCTGAGTCTGGACACAGCCTTAGGGATGTGCAAATCCTGAATCTTTGGGTGGCTGATAGCACAAACAATGCACTGAATCTTTTACATTCCTTCCCTAGTCTTTGGTATGGGTGGTCAGAGGGAGTTCGAGTGAAGATCCCTTCCCAGAGGAAGATTCTAAGATCACACACCAATTTCCCAGATTCTGGGCACAGAGGAGTCAGAATAAAAAAGCTTGCAAGGGCTTCCCTCGGAGAATGACTATGCTGCAGTCAGGGGCATGACTGCACCTCAGGCAGGCATACACATGCTAGCTTTAATATAGCTGGTGCAGCTGAAAACAGCAGTGAAGAGCCATCTAGCAGCATAGATCCCATGTAGGCTAGCAACGCATGAGAATGCATGAGAAGAGGATGGCAGTGCTAACCCCCCAGAATCTATACCTGGTAGGGGTAGAGAGTTATGAACGCTAGACTTCTCTGTCAAGACTGGAGAGAAATGGGGAGATGTCCTTCAGACTGGAGAGGGAATAAAGAAGAGAAAATGTATATTTGGCATGGCAGAGAGAGCTCTATCCAAATAATGTTTGGGGCCATGTGTTGGTTCTGATATGCATCCCTAATTTTTCCTTTCTCTATGCTATTCAATTGACTGACAAGAGATTACATTTTTATGGCGGGGAAAAAGTACAATAAGTTAGCCAAACCAAATAAAAAAAGAACAACAGCCTGGCTCACTGTACTTTACTTCTATGGCCTCGAAAATGGAGCTGAAGTCTGATAGGACATGACAGTAGCGGAACTATTCTTGAACCAAGACTCACTGAATGAAATCCTGGCTCTAATGAAGTCAATGGGAGTTTTGCCATTGATTTCAGTGGAGCCAGGATTAAACCCACAGTCAGCTGTAAATAAACCTTTTTTGCATGTCAGGCTGTTAATCCCACAGTTGCAGAACTGGAACGAATGCTACTTAAGTTTACCTTTAATACCTCAGTATCTGGGACAGATTGACTATCTAGACAAGATAGATATTTCAAGAGGCCCAACTCCATTCCTAATAGGCACCTAAGGAAAAAGTATGTCGCACTTTAAAGACTAACAAGATAGTTTATTAGGTGATGAGCTTTCGTGGGGCAGACCCACTTCGTCAGATCATAGTCTGAAAGGGTATGTCTACACTACAAAGTTAATTCGAACTAACAGACGTTAGTTCGAATTAACTTTGATAGGCGCTACACTAGCGCTCTGCTAGTTTGAACTTAATTCGAACTAGCGGAGCGCTTAGTTCGAACTAGGTAAACCTCATTCTATGAGGACTAAGCCTAGTTCGAACTTAAAGGGGCACGGGCTGGCTACGATGCCCGTGCCAGGTGCAAGCCTGCCAGCACCCAGCTAGCAGAACCTGCACCTGGCACAGCTCAAGCC